ATCTGTTGGGCTGGCAACGTCACTTTCCTCCCACCCCTGTGGCTTTCTCTCTAAAAGCTTCATGCGTCTCCAAAACAGCCAGGGAATGGGAACCAATGTGTTTTGGGACCTCTTGTTCAGACTGACCCAATCTTGGCCTCCTGAAGGATTTTTATGACTTTCTCTTTTTTTTTTTTCTGGTCACTGACTTAAAAGCAGAGTGAGAATATTAACATTTTTGTTTTACTCCAACTCTCTCTTACAATGAAGAGGCTAATATAGTTGATCTTAGTTTATTCCTCCATTAACTTCTGTGATTAATTTTTTATTCTTTTCTAAGTTTGCCCAATTAACAAAGGGGCACAGGATACCCTGGAGAGGCAGGGCGTGTGTAGTGGGGGTGGACCCTTGGGGGAGATATTTAGGAATTCTCTCTATGTTTTAGATCATTTACAAACTCAGGTGCCTGCAGGGTCAAGCAAGAAACATGAATGAGTGACAAGGACCACCAGAAACATGTTGCTTCCAAGCTTGACTTTCATTTTTCCTTTTTTTGATAAAGATAGAACATACAATGGATACAATAAATACTTCTTATACTATACTAAATATGACAGCACATATGTATTGATGATACAAGTCAGCTGAGGCCCAGTCTCAGCTTGAGTTTGAGTTGGGGATATAATCCAGGATGGCACATCTAGTCCGTGGGGCCAGCTGCTATCTAGATATTGCCAGATGTCGTGGGTGCAGTATTGCCAGATAGTATAATTTTTTTCCCCTAGCCTCAAATCCAGATTTTTATATGAAATTTTACAATTTTAAAATATCAGCAACTATTCTTTTTAAACACCATGCAGGCTAAAGGGGCCAAACAGATGTGTCATGGGTGGCCAGTTTGCAACCTCTGATCTAAGGCCACACCTTGTCCTTTCAGTCTCAAGACTCCCTCTCTGGCACCATTTCTCCCTCCATAGAGCCAGATCCATAGGGCCTCTCAGAGCTGTGAGCAGCTGGTCCCAGCTTTGGAGCGCTGTCAGGGGAAATGGGGCAGGTGCCAAAGAGTTGGTCCCACCAGCAGCTGCTTTGTGGAGCAGGGGTCCAATGACAAGAGGGTGGGCTCAAATCAGGCTGCCTGGTTTGTCCACTGCCCTGTCACACCACGACAACTTCCTGACCCATGGACCAGCCCTGAGTTCTGGGCTCATTTAAAGCCTGGAATAGCAATAAATCTTTTTAACTTGCTGAGAATCCCTCCTTTGTCTTGGCTGCATATTTCATTGATTGCATTTTGGGATTTCACAAGCTCATTTGCAGTGGGCTGTTACTGTTGGAAGGATTTGCTGCAGCGGTGCAGATGAACTGAGGAGATTCTGGAGACTAGCTCTTCTGGCTCTGTCTTCTGAGCTGCTTATCTCTTTTTTTCATTCTGCTCAATCACCATCCAGCTGCCTTGGTTTGCTATTTTGCATTCCCCTCACATCATAATCTCCATAGCCTTTTTTCCCTCCATTGGATCTTTCAGCCTTATCCTCATGGTTGTTTTTTAGTTCACATTCTTGAATGGAATCTCATTAGTTCAGTTAATCTTTTTATGCCTGCCATGCTCATGGGTCAAATGTTCCTTGAGATCTCTTGGGGTAGAGAGGTGAGAATTTAAAGGTGGCATCTCAAGTCACAGGGCAAAGTAGACTTTTTAATAAATGGTGCTGAGTCAACTGGAAAACCATTTGGAAAAAGTTGAAATTAGATCCATACTTCACACTATATGCAAGAATGAACTCCAAATGGATCCAGGATCTAAATGTAAGAAAGTGAAACCATACAAATACTAAAAGAAAACATGGCTGAAAAACCCAGAGGCAATAAAAGATTAATTTGATTACATAAAGAGAAAAAAAGTGTGGCACAAAACAAAGTCAAAAGACTGGGAGAAAATATTTGCAGCATATATGACAGATGAATGGTTAGTATTCCTACTATATAAGAAATTAAAAATTAAGGGACAGTAAAGAGAAAAAAAGTGTAGCACAAAACATAAAGTCAAAAGACTGGGAGAAAATATTTGCGGCATATATGACAGATGAATGGTTAGTATTCCTACTATATAAGAAATTAAAAATTAAGGGACAAAGGACCAAACTCCTGATAGAAAAATTGGGAAAATACATTCACATAAAGATATAAAAAATAGACATTAAACATGAGAAAATGTTCAAACTCATGATTAGTGAAATGCAAATTGAAATAATATTGAAATACCATTTCTCATTCTCAGACTGATGAAGATAAAGTACAACACATTCTTTTAGGTGAGGCTGTAGGGGGACGGGCGCTCTCATACACTGCCGGGAGGAATACAGACTGATAGGAGGGGTCTTCAGAGTTGGTATCTTTTTAATTTTATTTTTCCACGAACTTTTTGAAGAACCCTCATATAACCCTTCCAGAGGGGAATTTATCAGTACTTAAATCTACAAAAGCACTTACCCTTTGGCCCAACTGTTCCATTTCTGGGAAGTTCCTTTGAGGATACACCTCCAGCAGCACCAAAATACATACGCACACGGTTATTCACTGCAGCATTATGACAGCAAATGCTGGAAACTATGTAAACTTCCAAATACAAGAATAGCTAAATAAACTTGCATGTCCATGTGATGGAGTACTATTTAGTTGTAAAAAAGAAAGATCTCTGGATTGATGTGGACTTATTTTCAGGGTATTGTTAAGTGCAAAAAGCAAAGTATAATGTGCTACTTTTCATAGAAGAAGGAAGGGGATATAAGAAAAGATATGTCCTGTTCATTTGTGCAAAATTAGGAAAGATTAGCGAGAAACAAACGAGATTAGTTATCTACGGAAGGTGGAGGGGATAGAGTGCAAAGAAGGGAGAAATGATAAAGTATAAAGGATTGAAGGGGTGGGACAGTTTTAACTATTTTTTTTGTGTGTGTGTAGTTGTGCCTCTTAGAACCATAGTAGTGTTTCTCATACCCAAAAATATTTAAAATCAACTAGGATATGAGGAGAATTCAAAACAAAATACAAACAGTAGCAAATGAACTATGTTAAAAATACAACCACACTGAAGAGGGTGGGGGAGAAAAATACCTAAGTTACAGTATTTTGATGGGATACTGTCAAGCTAAAGACAAAAGGACTGTACACAAATACTGTAGTCTAGTAAGTCAGTTTTTCACAAGAGTAGGGGTTAGCAATTCACAAAGTATTTTAGTGTGTTTATTAGGATTGAGAAAATAAATATATTGTGGATAATGAGAGCATGGAGGGTATATCGAAAGGACCCAAACGAAGTTGTAAGAACTCTGTGGCCAATTCATGGGCAGTTTGAGCAACAAAATATATAATGACAGTAATGGGTTATAATAATCCATTGAATAAAATACACAACAGAATCCCATACACAAGAGAATCTCAATTAAGTGTTGAAGGAATGATAGAAATAGAAAAAAGTCACCATTAGGCAAACACCATAGGAATAATTGCATACAAGAAACATCTATGGATGCTAAAGTAGTGGATAAAAGTATGATAAGAAACAGGATTTTGCGTGGCTTTAAGATCTGTTCACAAGATACTAATTACAAAGGGAAAAATAGCAACTTTATAGTGCAGAAACCTGGCAGTCAACACCTTAACCGAGTGATCAAGTTAACCTCACCAGTAATAAGACATAGTGACATCATGTACCTCCCCATGTCATGCACTGAGAAAGACAATGTCACTTTTGTGGCGTTCTTATCAGAAATGTATAATTTCAATGTAATTGTGAGAAAAGATCAGACAAGCCCAAACTAAGAGACACTCTACACGATAACAGGCCAGTACACTTCAAAAGTGTCAGTGCCGTAAACAAATAAGAAAAGACAGAAAAAGTCACAGACTGAACTGTGACTTGTTTAACTCAAGTGAATACAATGACTAAATGCATTGTGAGATCCTGGTTTGGATGCTGGGTTAGAAAAAGAATGAGAAATAGGATTTTGCCGATGTTAATTACTTGTTTTGATAATTGTACTTTATGTAAGATGTTCATATTAGTGAAAGATAAGTGAAGGGTACGTGGAAACTCTATTATTTTTGCCACCCTTTGTAAGTCTAAAGTTTCTCAAGATAAAAAGTTGTAAAAACATATTGCTAAAGTTCCATTTTGAGGAAAAAAAAAAAGCACTTGATTCTGCTGTCATGTAATGTCAGTACAGGAAGGGAGATAAACATTTATGCAAATACATGTTACAACTACAAAATATATTACAAATAGAAGTTTCTGCAGAGTCTGAGTCAGTGGGTGAGTTCAGAGTAGATTTTCCTGAGGAAGTGATGGCTGAGATCTGAGAAATGAGGAGGAATTACGTTGGGGAAGAGAGGGGAAGAGAGTTCCGAATGGAGGGAACAGCGTGGGCGGTGGCCCTGCAACAAGGGGAACTGAGATTTTCCTGAGGAAGTGACGGCTGAGATCTGAGAAATGAGGAATTACGTAGGGGAAGAGAGTTCCGAATGGAGGGAACAGCGTGGGCGGTGGCCCTGCAACAAGGGGAACTTGGTGCTTTGGAGGAACTGGATAAAAGAGGGTGTGTCTGGAAGGAAAAGGTGCTATTGGTGCAAGAAGAGGCTGGAGAGGTGGGGAGCCTGTGGCTCATCTCTCTGACCAGCAAGTCCACCTTCCTAAGTTTGAGCCCACCTGAGAAATTTCTCTTGACTCATACCTCCACAGCAATTTCACTTCCAACTGGGGTATACCAGGGAGAGCGTCCGCCTTTTTTTTTTTTACTTTTGAATTCAGATCAGGGAAACTGCTTAAAGGCCTCCTGTGTGGGTTTGAGTCAGGCACAGCCAGGACATGGTTTGCCAACGACAAATCTTATAGATCCTTGGAGAGTTGCCTGTCAGTTTCTTTCCCAAGGGCAGGTGGCTTACAAACCACTGCACTCATGTTACCAAAGTCCACTTGGTAGCCAGCTTTTAATGACTCATTTTCACTGGGGTGACTTCCCCAGGCCCTGCCCCCTTCAGGCTTATGTTGTTTAGCAATCTTTTGTGTTCCCTGGCAATCTCAAGTCTCCCATTCCTTTTTCTTTCTTTCGGAGGCCTTGTTGAAAATCCAATTCAGCCTCTTCTCAAACTGATTTTACATATCATTTTCCTCTATGCCCCAACCCTAGTCCAGCTCAATCATATGAAGATAGATCGTATTAGTCCAGTATAGGAGTGCAAAGGGAAATAATTCTGAAGGTCTGTCCAGTATAGAAGTGCAAAGGGAAATAATTCTGAAGGTCCCAAGGGACAGGAACACCCCAGATCCTCTGCATCCTCCCAGATATCTTTATTTTAACTACCAGGTCGCAGTTTTTGCCATAGAAGCACGTGGCAGCAGAGAATTTATCCTAGGTTGCCACAACTGGAATGACCAGTTTGGGTCCTGTCAGTGATCTCAAATTGCTGACTGCAATCAGAAAGTGTTTTCTGTACCAGTTACATGGTAGCCTGAGTTTCCTTATCTTGTAGCTTACCTCCCTTATTTGCTTTTGCATGTTGCTTTATTCTGCATTAAACCTTACAGCCAGGGTTGTCTGATGATCCTTCAATGTCATGAGAAACAGAAATTCTTGCATTCCTTTTTGCAGAGGTTCTTTTGCAACAGAGGGTCTAGTAACTTCATGGGGTTTGTGATTGCTCCTGATATTGCATGCAAAATTTAGCATGTATGCATATATGTGAATTTTATGGAAGGAGGAGCCATATCTTTCATTAGAATCTTAATGAAGTGTATGAACTCTGCCTGCACCCCCTGACCCCCACCGCCCAAGTCATAAACCACTGACTCATCTCCATTTCAATGCTCCGTATTCTATAGTAAAGCTTCCATGTGTTCCTCAAAGCCTCACCTTCCCTACCAGGGATTCTCAAATGGGAGGGAAAAAAAAAAAAAGAGAGAGGGAGAGGAAAAAAGAAAAGCCTCACCTTCTTCAAGTTCATCGTCTTGGTCCCAAAAGAACAAAGAGTTTGTTATGAGCTTATAGTTTTCCAGTGATAGGATGCTCGGATGCTCCTCTCCACCTCTCTTTCCTTTGTGATGCTGTAGCTACCCCACCTCTCCTTTGAGAGGTTGTTGTTTGACATCTGACCATTGGTAAATAAATGATACATTACAGAAGGGGAACTCTGCTAACTCCAGCTCGAATTTCTGTCATTGAAGCCATAATATCAATCATGGAAATGAAAGGTAAGCTTGAAAAGTGATGTTCTCTGTAAGTACGCATCATACTGTAGATTTATGCTTTACATACTTTCCCGCATGGGTGTTACAGTTCACAATAAAAAAATTTTTAAAGTGCTATTTCTGTTAGAGTGAAACAAATCATTGATAACTTCCCCCTCAATAATGTTTCTTTAGTTATGAAATCAATACATCATTGTTAAACAAGGCAACAACACAGGCAAGCAAAAAAACAAAGCATAAAATTTCACTCCTAATTCAGCCCACTCAGAGGAAATTCCTATGACATTTTGTGTTCTGTATATTCTTCAAAATTACTTGACTATATGCATGTGATGGATTTTTCATGAAAACTAAAATGGAACCATTTCACATTCTATTTTTAACAGCTTTATTGAGAGAGGAAATTCCTATGACATTTTGTGTTCTGTATATTCTTCAAAATTACTTGACTATATGCACGTGACGGATTTTTCATAAAAACTAAAATGGAACGGTTTCACATTCTATTTTTAACAGCTTTATTGAGGTATAATTTATACCTCAATTTCTTTTATATGCTGATATATAATAAGCTGCATATAGTCCAAGTGTCCAATTTGGTGTACATCTGTACAATCCTGTAACATTATCTTCACAATTGAGACAGTGAACACGTTCTCCATCACTTCCAAATGTTTCCCATGCTCCTCTCACCCTCAAGCAACCCCTGAGCTGCTCTCTGTGACTACAGAGATTTAATAGATTAGTTTGCATTTTCTGGACTTACACATGAGTAGAATCATATAGTTTGTTCTTTTTGTTTGTCTGGATTCTATCACTCAGCATAACTACTTTGAGATTCATCTGTTTTATTGTGTGTGTGAACAGTTTGTTTCTGTTCATTGCTGAGTAGCATTCCATTGTATGAATGTATCACAATTTGATTGTTGGCACACATTTAGATTGTTTCCCACTGTTTTGCTATTACAAATAAAGTTACTGTGAACATTTGTGTACAAGTCTTTTTATGAGTATATGTTTCCTTTTTTTTTTAAGGTAAATGTCTTGGAGTGGAATAATTGGATGATATGGTAGGTATATGTTTAGCTTGTAAAGAAACTACAAACTGTTTATCAAAGTGGTTTCACCATTTTCCATTCACAATAGCATCATATGGAGTTTCAGTTACTCCACATCCTTACCAATACTAGCATGGTTAATCCTTGTGACTGGAGGATAATTTCTTTTTTTCACTTTCAGAATGTTGGAGTTGACAGAGCCCTTCATAATCAGTTAGTCCAACCCTTTATTTATAGGCAGGAATACTAAGACTGAGAAAGAGGGAGAAACTTGCCCAGTGTCCCATAGTAAATCAGTGGCAGAGCCAGTGTTTGGACAAAGTTACTGCTAAATTCCATTTTGTTCTGTCTGTGACTCTTCCACTTAGAATATCTAAATAGAAAACTCCCTTCCCCCAATATACTCTTTTCTAAATGTGATGCTTTAAGGACAACTACTTCAGTATAGAGAAAACAATTTCTTTTGCATTTGGTTGGCTGCTGTTTCCAGGGATATTGGGGCAAATGCCACCCCTTTTTCATTAAATGAGGCTGATAATACAAATGGTTGAATATGATTTTGGTTCAGAGTTACAAAAGACTGCCAAAGAAATCCAAAACCCAAAACAGTGCAGCTTGAGAGTGAACAGTATTAACTTGTGTCATCAGCATTTCTCTTGGAAAGATAAAAAAGCCACTAATTGATATAGAGATGTTGGCGTTCGATGAAGGTATATAACATCCACATGGAAGTTAAACAGGGAACGGGAAGAAGGGAGAGCTACTAGAATAAAAATAGATAATTATGCATAGACACCTGTGGAGTTGGCCATAGAATGGTTGATAGGTTGGGTCAACTCATAGAGGGCTTGGTATGTCCCAAATATACACCCCAAAAGGCCCAGGATGCTAATCACGATGTCTTTTGCAATGGTGACACAGTCCATGTCCTCAGAGTAAAAGGTGATAATTTCCAGTAAGGGTGGGATGATGAGGGCCAGGGCACTGCTGCTCACGGAGCCCACCAGGGAGATGACCAAGTCTAGGCGGGGGATGAGGATGGCTGAGACACCTGCAGCAAGAGGAGAAATTTAGAACTGCTGAATGTCCCTGCAAGAAGGGAGCTCAGAAATTATTGCTTTGGAGGACTGGAATTCCACAGATGTCTCAGAGACTGCTTTGGAGAGGTGAGAAGGAGTCTACTGCAGGATCGAGCAATAGGTCAGGCACCACGGCTCCAGACTCCCACTCCTGTTTTAACCGCCAATACAAATACTCTCCTTTTATATTTAATCTATTGGATTTTCCACAGATAATATTTATTGACAAGGTTCCTCTACCACTTATCTGTTGTAAGCTCCTCATTGTAGAAATGGGGAAATTTAGAGCCCTCAAGGAAACAGGACTTGCTCAACATTACGCAGAGCTGAGATGAGAATTCACTGGGATGCCTGATCTCAGGTTCTTTCTACTATGCTGCCTCTCATGTACATAAAAGAACTTGGCACACAGTAGGTGCTCAATAAATGCTCGACTCTTACCCAGACACTGAATCAAACTTTTTCCCATCTACATAATATAGACTCTGTCTAGAAGCAAGGATGGATAAAAAACAAGAGTGTTCCATTGGGGTCCAAATCTCAACCACTTATTTTCTTATTTGTAAGAGGATTCTGGTAATTAAGCAGGACATAAAACATGAAGACAGCATTAGGCTGCCCTTCTCTTCTATAAACACTCTTAAATCTCCATCTCTTATACATACAATGAACACATATCATGAATTTTCCAAGGGAGTCCAATTTTGATAATGTTTGAATGAGTAAATATATGATTTATACAACCATATGATTTTTCTATCAACAAATTAGAGAAAACATGTTCTAGGAAGCATCCATACAAGTTTGGATTTTGGATCTTTAGGGAAACATCACGTCTTTCTGAAATTGCTCCAACATGTCCAATCAGAGCATGAGAAAGACTCATAGACTCTCACGCTTGGGAGTCCATCACCCTTCTGATGACATGGTCCCTGTCCATAGCTTTCCATCATCAGATTTTAATAAGCTGCTTACCAGAGGAAGTACAGAGAAAAATCAGCATCTGTTCTGCAAGAGAGCTCACACTGAGGGGACAGAGAAGATATGTTCAAGGAAAGCTATAATGCAAGGAGGACAGAGGAGTGCTCTAAGAGGCTCAGTTCTGGTGATGCCAACCTGCTACTCAGAGCCCTTTCATTGCTCCACATTGCCCAACTCCTTAGCACAAGACCCCTTAAGACCTGGGCCCTGCCATATGCTCTGACCTCATCTCTCATCACTCCCCATTGCTTTTCTTTCTCCAAAGGGGCCATAGGCAAATACTTGCCCCGGGTCTGTGCACAGCTGGCTCTCTGCACGTGGAACATTCTTCTCTCCTCCACCTAGCTCCCACTTATCTTTTAGTTCTTAACTAATATATCACTCCACAGGAGAGAACTCCCTGGCCTGGCCCAGCCTGAGTTATAGGACCCTTTTATGTGTAGAGGGTGTCCTCTACTGACAATTGCAACCATCATCTGGTACATCATTATGTACTATCTTAACATTCATCACAATGTGCTGTAACTATTTCCTTGCATGTATTTGCCACTCAACTGTAAGCCCTGTGAGGAGAGGAGCCATGTCTTCTTCATTGTCCATTATTGTATCCCTAGTGCCTAGCACAGTGTCAGGCATGTAATAGGTGCTTGAAAAATGGTTGTTGAATGAAGGATAACAGAATTGATGAAAAAAAGGAGGAGGAAGTGGTCATTCATTGTATACCAGAAGCAGGGCACGTTTCTAGCCACACTCTCCCCTGTACTGATTATCCTGAACTACACCATCTTTCTCTTCATCTTACACCCTTCCTATCAGGAACAACCTCAAAACAGGTTCTTGAAGTCTTGGTATAGACTGAGAACTGTCTGTAATACCTTAACTCAAGCAGGAGTGCTGTTTCTGCTTCTAGAACTCCAGCTATTAAAGCTTTTTATTTGATAGCATGTTCTGCTGCTGGACAGCTCCAAGAGTTCCACAATTCCTCCTGATTCTGTACTGAGATTTGATTCCCTCAATTTTAAACTCTGACTCCTGGAGCCCTTAAGACTAAATTGGTTCTCTGTACAATAATCCCACAGGTGTTCAAGGACAGATATAGAAATTCCCTGAGCCTTTGCATCTCCAGGCAAAACATCCCTAATTCTTTTGCTCACTCCTCCTGGGGCACCTTTTCTGAAACTCTTTCTCTGAACATGCTCCAGAGAAAGAATTCCCCAGCCCTGTTTATGACGTTTCTCAAACACTTAACAACAGCCCTAACATTACACTGAATGAATGAGTGCATGGAAGGGAGGGAAGGAAGGAAGAAAAGGACACACCCAAGAAACTATCTCCAAGACATTAACAAATCAACCCCTTGGGGTTTTCCCCTACAGTTAAATACCACTTCGTGATAGGGGATTTGACTGTAATTTATGACAGGTCAGAATATAGCTCAATGGAAGATGTAGGCTTTGATGCTACACAATCTTTGTTCAAATCCTGGCTCTGTCATCTAGCACTGTATGATTTGGCATGTTACTTAATTTCTCTGGGCCACAGTTTTCTATATTACGTTGCTAAGCTGCCATGAGTATTAGATAATTAGATAATGTCAGTACAGTGCCTGGCACATAGGAGTGTGATTGAATGAATCATAATTCTTTCTCCCATAAGCCATCCAGTGTGTACTTTCTATGTGTACAGATTACTGTAATATCTACTATGTTGTAGTTCTGTTAAGCCAAGAACGTAGGTGGAAAGTTGAGGTCCAGGGAGATGAAGTATCTTGCCCTAGGTCATAAAGAAGGCAAATGGCAGAGCCAGTGATGGTGGGGAAGGCACCGTGGTTCCTAGCCACAGCCTTGGACAGGAGTGCCCTTTTATCCTACTCACAGGTGAGACAGACCAAGCCTGTGCGGACAGACAGGTCTACAGACAGCGCCCAGTTCTCTGACACCTGGGAGATGGCAAATGGAATGATGATCTCAGCTGGGACATGGAACTGGAGAGCGTAGGTGAAGAAGATACCAATAGAGTACATCAGCTTGACTGACTGGTACAACCTGCAGACAGATCAATAGGATGTGAAATGTGACGTGGCTCCTGGGAAGGCCACTCAGGACACACTTATTGCTCAGAAGCTGGCACTTGTCATTGAGTTATAGAACTGGCTAATGTCCAATGACTCAGGCCAGGCTGGCCATCAGGGCTGCCTGAGAAGCTTATTAAAAATGCGCATTCCTGGAGATTCTGAGTCAATAGGTCAGCAGCTGAGGAATCTATGCCTTTTTTCTCTTTTAATTTTTTTAAAAGGTAATATCTGCATAGAGTAAAATTCACAGTACAAAAGTCATTCAGTGAAAAGTATCCCTCCCACCCTTAATTCAGCCTCCAGTTCTCCTTTCCATAGGCAACCACTCTTACAGTTTTCCTGTGGCCCTTCCAGAAATAATCTGGGTGAAAGTAGGCACACACATGCACGCACATGCACGGCATCCAAACGTGCACGGCGGCATTCCTCTACACTCTATTGAGCTCCTTTAGTTTTTCATTAAATATTTCTTGGAGATTGTTCCCTATCAGTACATGTGGACATGGCTCTTCTATTTAATAGCTACTTGATATTCCAATTGCATGGATGTACTATAATTTTTAAAATCAGTCACCACTTAACAGATATTTAGGTTATTCCCAGTCTTTTGCCAAACAATGCTGCAAAGCATACCTTTATTCATATATCTATGGACATATAATACACAAGTCCAGAAGTAAAAATGCTGGGTAAAAGCACATGTGATTTAAAATTTTGATAGCTATATTGCCCATTTCTTGTCCTAATGTATCGTCACATCCTTGCCAAAATGGTGTGTGAATACATGTTGGTCTTTAGCATTGTATTTTTAAAAACTGGCATTTCTATTATCTTTCTAAAAATCAAGTGGCCATTTTAAGCATTTGCCTGTGAGCAGTTTGTTTATGCCCTTTGCCCATTTTTTCTTAGGTTGTTGGTCTTTTTCTTATTGGGAAAGGATATTTAAGGCTTCCCTGGAGAAAGTGATGACCAGCCAGGTTCACATCAGCAGGTGTGAAGTCCTCAGGGAGCCCAATGCCCACATTTTTCAGCTGAGGTCCCCGGAAGGAAAGCACCCTACCCAAGGTCGCTAATGGCAGCTCAAATGGCCCAAGATACAAAAACCATATTAGGATGATATCTTACTTGTGAAAAATAAAGCTGCGAAGAAATTCCACATGTATTATCTAGTCACCACCATAACACAGCGAGGTGGGTGGCGCTGGTGACATTTCCCTCACTTTACAGCTCTGGCTTTGTGGGAGATGGATGCTCCAGCTTCCCACTCACCTCGGAAAGGCCAAGGCTGTGGGGATGCATAGCAGTGATAACAGCGAACACTGGATGGGTACTTCATGTGTGCTGAGCACCGTTCTAAGCATTTTCTGCATACTAAACCAGTTAATCCTTACAATCTCTCCATGAGGTGGTGTGGCAGTCAGCTGTGCCCTTCACCAAATACTTCCAGGTCACATAAGAACCAGGATGCAAGTCCCATTAGTTAGTTTTAGAACGTATGCTCTTAAACACTTGGCTATACTGACTGCTTAGTCACTATGTATGCAATACTACCATAATAATAATAGCTAGCACTTGATGAGTGTTTACTATGTGCCAGCCCCCAAAACATTTCCTGGGTGAATGCATGAATGAATGAATGAATGATTAAATACAAGAACTCCAGACCAAGTACCAACTGGGACACAGAAATGGCAGCCTAGGTCCATTTCTGGAATTGGGGGCCTGAGTAGCCGTCCATCTGTGGGACTCCAGTCATTACTTTGGAGTTATACTTTTTGCTGGTGCTGTTTCTGTTTCCAGATCATTCCTGTTTTAGGGCCTTTACACTTTAGAGTTAGATTGGATTCAAGTTTCAGCTTCTCACAATGTGAACTGAGAAGTTACAGACTCTCCATATATCAACTTCCTCATCTATTAAGTGGAGTTGACAATAATAATCCTAACTCACAGGGCTTTTGTAAGAATTAAATGAGATGAAAATGCACAGTGCCTGGATTAACAAATGAACCCATTATTATAACCTATACTAATAGGAATAGTTACTATTTTGATGCTAATGATGACCCAAGAGAATGTGCTGCTTAGGTTCAGATCCCATCCTCTCCCTACCCCCAGCTGCGGCAGACATGGACATACCAGCAATTGGGCAAGTTGAGGGTGATGCTGACCTGGGTGTCTGACCCAAACTTCATGTAGCCCAGTGTCCCCAAGCAGATATAGAGGATGATGACAAGGGACATCCCCAAGTACAGAACAGAGGTAAAGTGCTGTGGATTCTTCATCTGGTTTTTGAGAGGCAGAACCTGGAGGTGAAAAGGGTTTTGGGGAGAAAAGGTAAAAAGAGATGTGGCACATTGTGAAAGAGCAAGGTTTTTCCACAAGCACAGACGCCCTTCTCCACTGGGCCCAGACTCAAGAAGGGACCTTCCCACAAGGCTACGTTTTCTGTCATATTTTCTATTGCCAGGAATGACCTACTCCATCTTGGCTGATTAGTAAATTCTCTCTCAGTCTTCAAGGCTCAGTGTGGTGTGTGGAGCAGTAGACACTCTGCATGTGGGAGCTGACTTCTCATCAGGAGAAGATCATACTCTGTGCTTTTGATAAATAGTATTTATTTAGACATCTGGAACTGCGACTGGCACTAGGGCCCATTCACTCAAACCTCGTCAATCTTACCATACCGATGCCTTCGAATGTGAAGATGGCCGTACCAAAGAACAGCAAGAAGGTCTTCCAGTTTGCCATCAAGGGTAGGTTGCTGGGAAACGGGATTCCCTGAAAGAAAGTAAAAGAAGGGTTTGGCTTTGCCGTGGTGGAAAAGCCATCCCAAGTCTTTGCCTGGTAGAAAACTGGGTTATACCTGACTTTAATGGGGACAGTGCTAAGAGAACCTGTAAAATATCTAGAGCTCAGTCAGCCTTCTCATCTTTTAAAAAACTTATTTATTTTGTGATCAAACACATATAACATTGAATTTACCGTTTTAACCATTTTTAATGTACACTTCAGTGGCATTAAGTGCATGCACATTGTTAAGTCACCACTGCCCATCTTGCGACCTTTTTCATCATCCCAAACTGAAACTCTGTATCTATTAAATAATAACTCCCCATTATCTAGCCTCCTGGTAATCCCTACTCTGCCTTCTGTCACTATGAATGTAACTATTCTAGGTACCTCACAGAAGTGAAATCATATAATATTTGTCCTTTTGTGTCTTACTTCACTAGGCTTAATGTTTTCAAGGTTCATCCACGTTGTAGCATGTATCAGGATATCATTCCCTTTTAAGGCTCAGTAATATTCCATTGTACTTATGTACTACATTTTGTTTGTTCATTCATCAGTTGATGGACACTTGGGTTGTTTCCACATCTTTACATGCGGAGAAAGTGGGACACAGGGAGGAGAAGGGAATTGCCCAAGGCCACTCTGCAAGTTAGTGGCACAGCCCAGATAAGAATTGAGCTTTCCTGTTTCCCAGTCCTCTAATGCCTCTTTCGCATCAGTTCTCTCAGGGCTGTGCGCTCTACTAGCTGGTACAGCAGCTCTCATGAATCTAGGGGGAATGTTGATTTTAATAGATTTCTGTGGTGGGTAGAGATGTCACATCCTAAACTCCAGAACCTGTGAATATGTTATGTTACATGGCAAGGGAGAATTAAGTTTTCAAATGGAATTAAGGTTGCTAATCAGCTGACCTTAAAATAAGGAGGTTATCCTGGATTATCTGGGTGGGACAAGGGTCCTTAAAAGTGGAAGAGGGAATCAGAAGAGAAGACCAGAGGGATGGCAGCATGAGAAAGACACGGCCTGATGTTGCTGGTTTTGAAGATGGAAGGGGCAATGGGCCAAGGAATGCCAGCAGCCTCTAGAAGCTGGAAAAAGCAAGAAAATAGATTCTCCCCTAAAGCCTCCAGAAAAGAATGCAGCCCTGCTGACACCTTGATTTTAGTCCAGTCAGACCTCCAGAACTGTAAAATAAATTTGTGTTGTTTGAAGCTACTAGATTTGTGGTAATTTGTTAAAGCAGTGATAGGAAACTAATACAACTCCAAAGAATTTCAGACTCAAAGAAATGAAATTATAATAATGGAATCGGAAAAATTACGTTCTGTTTATCAATTTCCTTGTCTGTAAACTGGAGGAAAAGGTAGTACTTCAAAAATAGTAGTGCTCCTAGATGTCACCTTGGCATCGGCTGCTCAGAGCTGGGGATCACTTTCCTCACCTTCACCTGCCCATCGTGATAATAACCCTCTCTGGGTGTCTCAGAGGCCCTGGACCCTACCCCCTTCTGCTGTGGTTTCAGGCACAGACCTGCAAGATATAGTGAAAGATCAGAACCGTGCTCCCCAGGGTGGTGATGTTGGCCAATGTTGAGAAGAAGGACAGCACCTTGAGGTTCTGGATAAACACCAACAGTATCAGGAAGGGCAGGATTGTCAGCATGTAGAAACGAATGTCCAGGTTAGGGGTCAGCACCAGGATCTTCCTGGATTGGCACGTGCTGGAGGTCACATGGGCTTCTTCCACTATCTGATAGCATAGTGAAAGGCAGTGTAGTTAGGGTTCCTGATAAAACACAGGATACCCAGCTAAATTTGAATTTCAGATCATTAATAGATAACTTTGCTGTATAAATATGTCCCAAATACTGCATAGAGCATATTCATAGTTAAAAAGAATATTATTCACTATTTATCTAAAATTACAATTTAACTGGGTGTCATAAATTTTTCTTTGCCAAATCTGGCAACCTTAACTGTAGTGCCCATGATTGTGACAACCAGAAACCCTTAGAATCATTAAATCTCACTGCCGAAGGGACCTTTTTTCATCTAGCCTAACCTCTTCTTCCCTCATTAAATGGGTTGCTTTCTTTTGTACATCCAGAGAAAGGGAATTCATTGCATAAGAATATCCTCTTCAACTTTAGGTAGCCCTAAATGTTGGAAAGCTCTGCATACTGGGCAAAACCCATCTGTTTGAATAATCCATCTACAATACTTGCCATAGTTCTTTCTGGATGTTTGGGTGCAGGAAAACAAGTATGCTCCCTCTATTCCACAAAGCCAAGAAAGAACGCTATGATTGATGTGTGTTGTTTATTAGCAATGCAGCAATAGAAAGGCTGCAGCTTGTTTGCCTTACATAGTTGGCCCCTTTTGAATCTGCAGATTCTGCACCTCGGATTCAACCAACCTTGGAATGAAAATATTAGAAAAAAATTGCATCTCTACTGAACATGTACAGACTTTGATCTTGTTGTTATTCTCTAAGCAATTCAGTATAACAACTATTTACATAGCATTTATGTTGTGCTAGGTATTAGAAGTAATCTAGAGACAACTGAAAGTATACAGGAGGATGTGCATGGGTTACCTGCAAATACTATGCCACTGTGTATCAGGGACTTGAGCTTCCTGGATTTTGGCATTCACAGGGATCCTGGAACCAATCCCCACAGATACTGCAGGATGGCTGTATTTAGTTAGGCATTTTCTACATGACAACCTTGAGATACGTAAAGTAAATTTCACCAATGCTTTCCAGGCTAAAAATTCTCAATTATTTCTGATTGGACATGATTACAACCCTTTCTGTTTGTCTTGGTTACAGTTTTCAGAAGTTGCTTTGGCTTCTCTATGATCCTTTAACTTGTGGTTCCCAGGATGGAGAGAACTCCCAAGTGTGGTCTGATCAAGGGAGTAGAAATAAAGCCGTCTCCTCCCATGACTTGAACACTATACTTTTGCTAATGTAGCCCTAGCATCAGGAGGTCTGCGTTTCTCACTCTGCCCAGAAGGGGCCTCTTTACCTGTTGTAAATTGTCTGCCATAAACATGAAATAAACACTGCAGAAGCCCAGCTGGGTGATGATTAATAGGAAACTGACTATGTACCTGGGAAGAAAAAAAAGAAGTAGACAGAGGCAGAAAACTAACATTAAAATCATTTTGTAAGAATGCGCTTATTTTTTGAAACAATTATTTCTGTCAACACTGATTTAAAAAAATTTCCCCCACATTTTTCTTATTTTTTGAAAATTTCCAAGCCCACAGAAAAAGTTGAAAGAATAGTATAATTAACATCCATATCACTTTAACTAAATATATTGTTAATTTTTTTTTACCCCAGATAACATTATGTATGTGCGTATGTATGTATGTATTCATCCATGCATACACACACACGCATTTTTTCCTGGAATCATTTGAAAGTCAATTGCAAATATCATAATACTTTAACTCCAGATACCTCAGCATACCTCTCTTAAGACTATGATAGACGGAAAATCAACTTCAATATCCCCAAATTAACCAGTAGTCTTCCAAAATTTCATGGAAAATTTATTAAAAGATTATCTTTTAATTCTATTTTTCCATGAACTTTTTTTTTTTTTTTCCTTTTTATCTTTTTTTTCGTGACTGGTAATGGGATTGCAACCCTCGGTGTCACGCCCGTACCGCAACCGGCAACGGGATTGCAACCCTCGGTGTCGCACCCGCACCACGCTCAGCCAGTGAGCGGACGGTCTCTATATGGGATCCGAACCCTTGGCGGGAGCGCCGCCGCGCTGCACTCTACCAAGTGCGCCACCGGGCCGGCCCTTTCCATGAACTTTTTAAAGTACTCTCATATAGTCCATATTTTAAATACTTCAATTCTCTCCAAAATATGTTTTGTAGCTAATAATTTTGAATTTTTTGATTCAGGATTTAATCATGACTTGTATGTTGCATTTGGCTCTGTTTCTTCTGTCTTTTGTTCACATAGAACTACCCTATATATATCCACCTTTTTTTATTTTTCATGTTGTTGGCTTTTTCCAGAGAGTCCAGGTCAATTGTGTTATAGAGTGCCCCACATTGTGGACTTGTGTGACTGCTTCCTCATGGTTAGACTCAAGTCAGCACGTTTGGCAAGAATACTACGGAGGTGATATTTTGTGCCTTTATTTCATCACATTGGAAGGCACAGGGCGGCCTGTTGTTCTAGTGTGTTGACGACTGTGATCTCTCCATTGTAAATGTATGTTTTCCCTTTGTAATCTGGGGGGTAGAATGTTGAGATGGCATAAATATCCTATTCCCCTTACACCAATGGTTTTAACATTTATTAATGATTCTTGCCTGAATCAATTATTTCATCAGTCCTTGCAAGGTGGTGGTTTTCTAATTCTATCTATCATTTCTTCTGAATTTATTAGCTGGCATTTAAGAGAGATATATTCTTCCCTCCTCTTTTTTTTTGTATCACAATAGAGTCAAACTATTTTTTAATTTAAAATATTATACTCTATTATTGTCATGATTTTTTTGGATTCTTAAATTGACCCAAATTTGGAGATGCATTTTTTTAAAGGAACAAAAATATATTCCTCTACTTAGATTCTAATGTTTATATAAGTGTTCTTCAAAACTGGGTTTAGCAGCAACCAATTTGTTGGTTGAGGCACATGTTAAAAATATAGATTCCTGGCTCTCCAATCAGCCTGTTGTGTTAGAATCTTTGTGTTGTCATGTGAGACTTAAGAATTATATATTTTCTTTATTATGGAGATTTTCAAACATATACAAAAGCAATGAGAGTAATTTAATAAATCTTCATGTACCATGAGGCTTCAACAAGTATTAATTTTTGCCTTAAGAATTATATATTTTCTTTATTATGGAGATTTTCAAACATATACAAAAGCAATGAGAGCAATTTAATAAATCTTCATGTACCATGAGGCTTCAACAAGTATTAATTTTTGACAATCCTCTTCTATTCCTTCATCCCCACCACACACATACCTAATTTGTCAAAGTATTTGTAGCAAACCAGAGACCTCAAGTCATTTTACCTGTAAATAATTCAGTATGCAGCTCTAATAGAGAAGGGTTTAAAAAGCATAACCATCATATCATTATCATCACTTACAAAATTAACAATAATTTCTTCATATCATCTAATATTTAGTCCATATTCAGATTCCTCTGATTATCTCAAAAATATCTATCTTATGTTGATTTCCAAACAAGTTTACACATTGCATTTTTTAATCAAGTCTCAAGTTTTTTAAAGTGCTGTATTCCCTTTGCCCTGTTGTTTTCTCTTGCAAGTTTTTTTATTTTTTGTTTGTTCTTGAGGATACCAGATCATTTGTCTTGTAGTATATCGTATTTTCTGGGTCTGGCTGATGACTTCCTCGTGACATCATTGATCTTGTTCCTCTATCCCTTGTGTTTCCTGTAAAGTGACATTAGATCTAGTGGTTTAATCAAATGGAGATTCCTCATCAATTTTTCTGGCAAGAATATTTCAGAGGCAGTGCTCTGTACTCCCTACTGTATCCCATTGTGAGAATTAAGTTAAGTTTGGCCTAAAGCGTTCTTCAGACATAGTGAACTGTAACCCAAATTGATGTGTAAACAGACTAACCTACTCTTGTAACCTAACTTGATGTGCTGGCAGACGGCAACCTACTCCTGTAACAAGTAGCAGAGTCTCAGCCCATCACAGGCATCCGACTGTTCTGTACCTCACTTGTTTTCTGTATCTGACTTCCCTTTTCTGTCTATAAATTTTACGTGGCAATGGTGGAGTGTTCAGAATCTGTTCTGATTCTGGGGGCTGCCTGATTGATGAATTGTTCTTTGTTCAAATTAAACTCTGTTAAATTTAATTTATCTAAAGTTATTAACATGAGACACACCATATATGGCTGTCCAATGTCTAAACATGCAGTGCTAAGATGCTAAGATTAGTACATGGGGTCAGGTGGCATCAAACTTCCTTTGAAAAGTTTCCCAATCACCTTTCACCTAATGGCTTGAGCCTCCATTAATGACTGTTGCCTACATGAAATGGGCAGTTTTTATTGTTGTTGTTTTTGGTGGCTAGCCGGTATGGGGATCCCAACGCTTGATGAATGGGTGGTTTTTAATAAAGCTCCCCAGGTATCTCAGTGCACTACAAGTTACAAATCATTGGCTTAAATAAAATATTTTTCTAAATGTTTCCAACTCTTTTTCAGTCACTGGTCCTCCTGAGAAATGGTACAGTGTAGCGGATGGGAGCTAGATGTTCTGAGTTCCAGTTCTTGCTCTGCCACTAAACTCCTGTGTGATCCTGAGCAACTTTATTGCCCTCTCTGAGCTTCATTCTCTTTATTTGAACAGGCGTGAATATGGTGATATGTAAGGGCCCTTCTTGCCCTAAATATTTACTCAGGGTGTCATCAAAAATTGATAAGCCTTGGAGAGAATGGATGCACAATCGTAAGGCATCCATTATTACTGCCACGTGATCTCACCTTCCTGATAACTGGAGTGACTCCTGATCAGGAGATCAATGACCTACTGAGAATTCCCAAAAAAGAGTGGCAGAAGGCATCTCAGCAGTCACAATATTGACTCACTACCTCCCGAGGGACTTTGCTGGGGAGGCTGCAGTGAGAGACATGTGATGTCTATGCTTTGGATATATTATTTTATCTTTATGAGCCTTGATCACCTCATACTTCCAGGACAATAAAAACCCACCCTGCCTGCCTCACAAGGTTGTTGAGATGATCAGAGGAGCTAAGACATAGAAAACCACTTTGTATACCATTAACTTTTTATCAAGCAAGAGAACAACCTAAATGTTCACTATTAGGGGAATGGTCCAATAAAACTGTGATATACATCCACACTGGGGAACCTCGTGAGTTTTTAAAAAAATGAGGTAGATCTATATGCACCAAGGTGAAGAAAAACTAGACATATTGTTAGATAAAAAGCAAATATCCAAAAATTATTCTAAGTAATGTACAAGAAAATATAAGACAAATTAGATATTGCTATTCACACACATACTGATGCACCTGTAGAGAGAAAAAAAATCTAGAGGAATATTTATTAATTAGGTATCAATGATTATCTCAGGTAGAGTAAAGTGGGTGATGGGACTATTGGGGGAATTCTCTATATTGTTTGACACTTTACAATAAAAACATGTTCATTTAAAATGTGTGTAACTAGAAATAAAGGAAGAACAGGTGAGGATTATTGTTGTTGTTACTGTACCACTACGTCTGTGGCTACTACCTTCCCCACACGGAATGTGTCCTCAGCCAGGTGTTCGGGCAGGTTTCAAGGCTGTACATCGTGGCCTCTCCATAGTTCACAAAAGTCTTTTGCAGTCTAAGGGGAAAGGACAAACGATTTGTAACTTAAAATACTTTTCTTAAAGGTACTATTTACTCCTGAAGTGAGCAATTATTATACAAGTATATTTGTGTGTTAGCATCACATGTTCTGTTAATTTTCTAGCAATGGTATACTGTATGCTTTAAAAACTTTCAGGAGTTTGCTTTTTTTTTTTTTCTTTTTTTGCAGTTGTCCTTTAAAGCACAAATGTTTAAGTGGATATCATTGAATTTGTTCTTTTTGAATGAACAGTAGCTATGCATTGATTTAGGTCTGTAAAGCAGAAAAGAAGGGATATGGTTGGGGGAGGAGAAGGTGGGAGAGAAGCGGTACTGGTGTGGCTAAGGGGGTGATTTGTCTTTTCTGGATTTACGTTCCTTTCTTCCCATTGACAAGGGCCTGTCTTGGACTAGATCCCATGCAATGGTGATCTGTAGGATACTGCCTAGCACCCCTATAGGATGTAACACCCACATTCCAGCCTATTCCTGTTCCCTTGTACTTTTTCTAGGGATCCCTTTCTAAGAGTGGGGCAGGCCCTGCTGTAGGACTGTCCTCGTCTTTTGCAGGATCAAGAGGGAGCAGCAGCAGGTTGCCAAAATCCCAGATGCACAGTGTTAATTGTAGGACTGAGGGGAGCATCTGGGAGAGAGAAATGGCCCCAGACATGCTAGGAAACCAAGGTTTAAATCCCAACATGCCCCTCTGATAGCCAGTGATCTTGACCAAGTCTCTTTAGATTTCTGGGTCTCAGTTTTGTTGACATGCGGTCTAGGTTCTGGGGAGGAGACAGCAAGAGATGGATATGGAGGTGCGTTGGGAATATGGCACGATCCTTCTATTTTTAAGTCTCTTTAGATTTCTGGGTCTCAGTTTTGTTGACATGCGGTCTAGGTTCTGGGGAGGAGAGAGCAAGAGATGGATATGGAGGTGCGTTGGGAATATGGCACGATCCTTCTATTTTTATTATTGCTCACTATGATTGGCATTTGTACTATAAATGAGGTCACGTGCATGGGACTGGCAAATATGTTAGTCTGAGGGTTGTAAATTCAGAAGCTATGGGGATCAGACAGGTATTAGTAATGGGGGAGTGGCAGGGGCTGGGTATGACAGGATAAGGCCTACTGTAGACAGTGGCAAGTCAGAGAAAAGGGGTTGATCAGGACTCAGTTCAGAAGAACAACAAAGGAATGAAGGCCCAGAAGTGCCACATTGTCTAACTGATAAGAAGGCAGTTTTATTTTTTTAAATGTAAAAATGTCAGGTTTTTAAATGTTGGGAAAAAACAACAACAAAAAACTGTGGAAGTCACCCAAAACATATCTGAAGCCCATAGTCAGCTCTTGGGTCAACATTCTGAAACCTTTGCATTAGAGAAAAATGAAAGAGAAGTCATCAGAAAAAAATCAGGGGAAGGCTGTCAGAATGGCCAGATGTCAGAAGCCTACCTGGTGATATAGTGATCCAAGCCAGCTTGAGGGAAGAGAAGGTTTGCAAAACAGTTAAGGGTGAGGTAAGACAGGTCTTTGAATACCTGCTCTGCTACTTCCTAGCTGCATGACCTTGGGCAAGGCATTTAAGCCTTAGTTTACTTATCTGCAAAATGGGAATAAAAATAGCACCTACCATAGAGATTTGCTGTAAGTAGTAAAGAAGGCTCGCAAAGCTCTCGGCAGGGTAACCTGGCATGATGTAATTACTCAATAAGTTTAACCACTGATCGAGTAAATGCTCTTAAGTGCTTTGTGAGCAGAAAGGGCTGTGTGAATTAGGTGTGACTGATATATATTCCAGATACACCTATTTGGGTTGAGATAGTTGGGCTTTATGAATTTCATTTAATATCCCTACTTTGACTTATGAGGTCTTTCTTTACATCTCCAAGGACCTATTTTGATTTGCATGCGTTGGGAGCAGCTGAGCGCTGTGCATCTCAGCATTATTTGTTTTCAGTGCATCTTTCTTTTCTTTCTGAAATAGTTTTTGCGTTAGAGTTTCAAACACACAATCGCTGAGTATTTCATGTATGCTTTGTTAATGACTGAAGTCATTGTAAAGTATTCATTTCATGGATAACTATGTTTTTTACTTTTACTAAATTGCCCTAAAAGGTGTGTGTATTGGGGTGGGGAGAGGTTGGAGTGGGGAGACTAAAAGGAAGAGAAGGACATCTCTAAGTATCTTGCATGTACATGGTAGTCAGTAGGCGCTTTTGCATTTTTCATCACTTTTGAGGCTTCCAGGTAAGGAGATTTAGGCTGAGAGTGGTATAGGAACTTGACAAAGTCATCCAGAGCAGAGTTGGGTCTGCACCTGGAGTCCCCAGTTAGGATTCTTTCTTACCCCTTCCACTGCCTCTGTAGACTCCAGAGTGGCAGGGGCAGTGGCCTGGAGAAGTGGTCGAGTTAAGTGGGTCAGTGGTCAAAGGAAACACAACACACCCTCAGATGGGCCCAGTGCTGGGGTGAGAGAGGAGAGGTACCCTCACCTTTGACTGAGGTGATGAGCACAGTTCAACAGGATGACCATGCAGTGCACGGTGAGGATCCCGATGGCCAGCAGGCTGATGGGACCCACCTGGCGGGGAAAGGAGAGGCAGGACGGTGAGCTGCACCCTGACCACTCCCACACCCTGGCCCACCCATGGTCTGTGTGCTGGAGTCCTAGCATAATAAAGCTGTCTCTGGGATGAGGGACCCTGCCTGAATGTCCTTGTGCCCCCAGATGCTCTGGTTTGAATGCTCTTCTTAACATCATTGCAGAGTGGCTGCCCAACCTTTGCTAGAATACATATAGTGACAGAGAGCTCACTACCTCCCCACACAGCCCATGCCTTTTCTCACTTGCCTTGAGTTCTACCCTCCTGGAGTCCCTCGAGGTAAATTCAGTTCACGTTATACCCTTAGCCCTCACCTCCTCTGAGGTACTTGAAGAGCAAGCTTCCTCTTAGGACTTAATTCTCTTTGTCTAGTACAGTTTATCAGCAGGGGCACTATTGACATTTTGGGGCAGATGATTCTTTGTTGTGAAGAGCTGTCCTGCGCATTGTAGGATGTTTAGCAGCATCCCTGGTCTCTACCCACCAAGTATCAGAAGCACCCCCCACTAAGCTGTGACAATGGAAAATGTCTCTAGACATTGTAAATGTCTTTGAGAGAAGGAAGGCACAAAATTATCCCCCAGATAATCACTGCCCTAGTGTGTCCTATTTGTCAGTATCCAGAAGTGATCAGGAAGGCTCTCTCACCTCCTTTGTTCTTGACACTCATGCCTTTATAGACGTGCCCCAAGAGAACATTATCTACTATGAATAGATAAATGTGGGATCAAGAGAACCAGTAGACTCCCTTGGAATGCAGTCTCCATGTGGCGGAAACTTTCCTGTCCTGTTTACTTCCCTACTCTCAGGGCTTAAGAATGCTCAATAAATATTTCTCAAATAAATCATGGTTAGAGGGTCTGGTGGGGTATTGTCTTATCTTTGTAAGTACTTTAGGAATTCCAGGTGAGGTAGATATAAGTGGTAGGAAAACACAAATGTGGGCAGCATTAATTTTCCTAAGAAATAGTAAAGTTTTAGAGAGGAAGCAAATTTCAAAAGACAGAAAGGAGAACAGCATATGCAGAGACAGAGGCAGGCGGGTGCAGGCAGAGAGTGGGGATCACCCTCATGTCCAAGCCACTCTCTCACATACCATCAGATGGTTTGCAATAGGAGTCACATACTCAAATGCCTACAGTGACCAGGCTGTGAATGTGAATGAGTGAAATGAGTGGAACATAATCCTTGGGAGTGGGGAGGAGTGTGGTAAAGTGTAGTCTGTATGAGTGTGGTACGTCTTTAAGAGTAATGGTCCATTCCCCCCCACAGGATGCTGTTTGGCTACAGATTGGCTCCAGTGGATTGATGCCGACAGGCATATTTCCTGTTGCAGAGGGCACCTTTTGACAAACAGTGCAAAGACCTTAGGAACCCATCACCCCCTCCCCCAAATGGGTCAGCCTAGTTGCCATCTCGTAGGTGCCTCTTACCAATAAGCCGGCATTTTTTATGGCCAGGGGAAGCCCCAGGAGCCCTGTGCCGATGTTGCATTTCAACAAGTGGATCAAAGTTTGCATCATCCTGTGGTAGGGAGACAAAAGTGTACTGTCAGTGGAAGGGAAGGGAATGGTGGCCCAGAGCTCAGCCTTCTTCCAGCATGTCCAGAAGCACCTGTTGGGAAGAGGGACAAAACCAGATGAAGTGGACTCTGGGGCAACTCTCTGTTCCAGGGATCTGTCCTGGAATATCAGATCCAGAGCTGGTGCCAGTTCAGTTGACTAAACAAATATTGAACACACACTAGGCTCTAAAGAAAAAGTAAATAAAAATTACTACCATTCTGGATAATTCCCTGCTACCAGTTGGTTCATTAATTCAATGGTTGATTGGTTCATTAATCCAATGATTTCTTTCATGATTTATTCATTCAACTAATATTTATTGACACCTACTTCCAGCGTTTAGATAGATAATGAAACAAAATAGTAATAATTGACTCAATTTACAGAGTATTTAGTGGTACCAGGTCATTTATTAAACCATTAACTAGAAAAAAGTATCTTCTACAAGGTATGGAGAATTTACTGGTTCTATTCACTCCTTCATTAACTCAACCAATATTCATTGTGAATATGAATTGCTATATATAAATATCCAGGGCCGACCCTGTGGCTCACTCAGGAGAGTGTGGCACTGGGAGCACAGTGGCTCTCTCACCGCGGGTTCAGATCCTATATAGGGATGGCTGGTGTGCTCACTGGCTGAGCGCAGTGCAGGCGACACCAAGCCAAGGGTTACGATCCCCTTACCGGTCACACACACACACAAAAAAATAAAATAAAATAAAATAAAATAATAAATAAATAAATAAATATCCATGAATTGGTATATAGTACATCCATGCTATTATGCATTGAATAAAGTTGCATAATTTAGTAACAATTGCTACTATGCATACAGAGTGCCGTCTGCCCTCTGTGTCTATAGGTTCTGCACCTGTGGATTCAACTAACTACAGATCAAAATAAATGAAAAAAAATATTCCACAAAGTTCTAAAAAGCAAAACTTGAATTTGCCAGGTACTGAATATATGTTGAATCCATGTGAATGAAGTGATGTGTTGGCATTGTATTAGGTATTATAAGTAATCTAGAGATGATTTGAAGTATGTGGGAGGATGTGCATAGATAATATACGAATACTACACCATTTTATGTCAGGGACTTGAGCATCTGAGGATTTTGGTGTCCACAAGGGGTCCTGGAACCAACCTCCCAAGGATACCGAGGGACGACTGTACTTACTATGTGCCCGGCAGGGTGCTAGGTCCCAGGATGCTAAATGGTCTTCACACCCATGCTGGCAGCTCCTGCCCAGGAAGCTTCAATCCTGATGTGGACTGGTAGGGTAAATTGGAACGGGATTGTGAGAACAGAATCCAAAAGAAATTGACACGGAAAGAGAGTGCGAGAGCACTGAATCCAGAGGTAGGAGCACTGGATTCTGAGTTCTAGCTCTGCCATTAACCTGCTGCGTTTGGTTACTACTTTGGGAAGACTCTTAGCTGCTTAGGTCCTCTATTTTCTCATCTGCCAAAAAAGGCAGAATAATTCTTGTCCTGCCTATGTCCAGGGATGGTGAAAGAATCAAAAAGATCATGACATGAATCTTAAAATTGTGACATGCTTTATGGACATGAGCATCATAATCATCATCATCATCACTGTCACTGCCACCTTTGGTTTGGCCCTCACGGTGCTCTCCATGCAACATTGCCATCTAGAAAGGTACCAGTTAAATGCTTCCCAAAAGGACACGAGAGAGGGCATTTCCTGGCACTCTTATCAACACTGGATATTGTCATTTATGATCTCTTTATGCCATGACTATTATCTGATCTGATTACTAGATAAAAATCTGATTGGCAATAAAGTCCTAGAGAAAAAGTTCTATGTGTTGAGTTTGGGGCAGTAAAGGTCTCTAGACATGGGGCTAGCAGGTGACCTTTTGTTCCCTGGATGGATCTGTAGAAAGGAGAGAGAAAGAGCAGAAAAGAGAGAGGGAGAATAAGCATAGATGTGAGAGAAAAGGAAAGCAGGCTGAAACTGCAGAAGAAAGGGAAGAAAAGAAGGGGAGCTAGCATAACATAGGAAATTTTTCCTGGAATTAAGAAGCTCATGTTGCGAATGGCTGCTGCTACGGGTCCCTGAAGGTTCGTGTATTGGAAACTTAATCCCCACTTTAACAGTGTTAAGAAGGTGGGAAATCCTACTATGGTCATTGAAAAGTGGAGCCTTTAAAAGGTAATTAGATTGTGAAAACTGTACCCTAGGGAATGGATTAATCCATTGATGGTTTAATGGGTGGTAATAGGCATGGATCTGATGGCTTTATAAGGACAGTGAGTGAGTAGGTTAGCTCAGCCATTCCCCATATAATACCCTGCATTGCTGTGGAGAGTCACCACCAAGAAAAAGGCCCTCACTAGATGTCTTCCCTGGTCTTTGTCTTCTCAACCTCCAAAACTGTAAGAAATAAATTGCATTTCTTTATAAATTAACCAGTTTCAGGTATTCTATTGTAAGCATCAGAAAAGAACTAATACAGCTGCTCTATCTGCGTACTTTGCAAAAACTGGGAAATATCCAGAGCCACAGGGATTGTAGATTCTGAAATTTTTGTCTTGTATCCATGCATCTCCTGTTCAATGGGGACAAGAGTGCTAAGAAGAGAGAAGCAGGAAGATGTAGTCCAGAGCTGCAAAAAACAGCAGCACTTGACCTAAGGTCTGGAAGGGTGGCACAATCACTTACGATAGTTCGGCTTCCCCAGCAGGATGGACATTCTCTGGAGTAATGTTACTGCTACTTTCTGAGGGTGACTTAGACCTGTTGTCTGAGGAGTTCAGCTCGTTCAGCTCACTGTAGTCCCTTCCAAGCAATGACGTCTTCAACATGGTGGGTAGGTGGCAGAAGCTCAGGGTTAAGGCCTGTAACAGCTTTGAAAAAGCCTCCGATGGGTTTTTCTCCAGAGAAACCAAGACTGCAATCCTGAGATACTGGCTCCTAATTCCTGAGGATGCCTGCCACTGGCTGAAGCCTGAAGTGTGTGAATCAGTGAAGCACCAGTGACAGGGGAAACTGATGTGGATTGTGCCTCACCTGGCTCTGGGGGCACTTAAGAGAGTCTCCCCTCAGGAGGATCCTTAGTGCCCCTCACAATTGCTCAGCCACCTGCCAGGATTTGCCTGGGCTTTCAGCCTCTGCCGATTCAGCCCTCACTGCTCTAGGGCAAAGTGAACAGTGAGACTGGGCCGAAGAAGGTACCATTGGACTGGAGGTCCTGTGCCTGGATGTGGGGCCGGGCTCAGTGCTCTGCTTTCTCTGCTAAGGAGGAAACCAGAGCTACCTCATAATGGAGGCTGCCTGGCCAATAAGCTGCTGCAAAGCCCCAGGATGCAAGTGTGGCCCAGCAGAGTGTAATCCAGCTGCCGCCCTTCCTGGGTGGGGGTGAGGAGTGGCTTGTAAGGCGCAATTCAAATGCCACCTGCTCAGAATTTCTATACTGGAGGGACGTATGGACTGCCACCTATTTGGAATAGAGTGCAAGTAAACTGTTAAAAAAAAATCATTTGTTCAAAAAAATATTTATTAAGCACCTAATATATGCTAGGAACTGTTCTCCATGCTGGGAGTACATTAGGGTAGAAAACCTACTATAATCTCTGCTTTCTTGGAATTTACAATCTGGTAGGACTTGTGGAGACAGATGATAAACAAAATAAATATGTCAGGTATATGTTAGTTGGTAATAAGTGCTATAGTGAAAAATAATGCAGAAAGGAGGGTGGGGAGTACTGGCTAGTGGGAGGGGTGCAATTTTAGATTGGGTGGTCAGAGAGGGCCTCGCTGAGAAAGTGACATTCGGGTAAAGGGCTGAATGAGGTGAGCGAGTGTGTCCATGTATGTCTTGGGTAAGAAACTTCAAGCTGAGGGAACAGTAAGTGCAAAGGTCCTGAGGCAGGAGTGTGCTGGGGGTATTTTGGGAAGGGCAATGAGGAAACGTGGCTGGCCTGGAGCACACAAGGGAGAGGGGAGACGAGGAGAGTGGATGTAAGTCTGGTTTTGCCCTGGCATAATGATTAAAAGTATCCTGGTTTGGATGACAAATTACATGGTCGCCTCAGAGATGCAGTTAGAGAGGTAATGGAAGGGGATGGAAAGGGCTGGGCAGGATCCTGAGGATGGACATATTACATAATCTGGGCTTTTCTATTTATTCTCTTGTAAATTGCCTGCTTATGTTTTTGCTTGTTTTTTTAATTTTTATTTTTTTAAAGAGAGAGAAGTTATTAAGAGGGGTGTGTGTGTGTGTGTGTGTGTGTGTGTGTGTATACGTGTTTGCATTTGGGTATTTGCCCAAATTTGAAGACCATATAGTCTACAAATAGTTATTCCTGGTAGAATATCATCATTTACTTTTGTCTATGCTTTTTTTTAATACAAAATTTTAAATATATTTAAGAGTTACGTTTCTCAATCTTTTTCACTTTGATTTTTGGTTTCATTTCAAAAGGCCTTTACTACTTCAAGATTTAAAAATATTTTCTTAAGTTATGTCTTATTTTCTTTTTAGTGGCTGTTGGTTCTTTGAAGTATGTAATTTTTAATTCTTAATAGAATCCTGGCTCTGCCATTCACTAGCTGTGTGGCTTGGCCAAATCACTTAACCTTTCTGTGCTTTGTTTTCTTCATCTATAAAATGGGTATATTAGTAATACCAATGTCTGAATATTGCCAGAAGGATCGAATGAGTTAATTTATGTACAGCATTTAGAACAGTGCTCAGCATCTGTTAAGCTTTCAGTAAGTGTTAGTGTTATCATCATTGTTAATCCATTTTCCAAATGGCTGACTAGTGTTCCCAGTGCTATTTATTGAATAATCTATCCTTTTTTCATTTTATTTGAAAGATACTGGTTGTGATTTTTTTTTTCTTTTTTTCTTTTTTTCTTTTTTTTTTTTTTTGTCTTTTTCCGTGTCCGGCGACAGATCGCAACCCTCAGTGTCACCCCCGTACCGGACCGGGACCGGCAACGGGATTGCAACCCTCGGTGTTGCTCCCGCGCCTTGCTCAGCCAGTGAGCGGGAACCGGTCTGTATGTGGGATCCGAAACCTCAGCGGGAGCGCCACCGCGCTTCCCAAGTGGCGCACTATAGCAGTGCACCACCAGGCCGGCCCAATGATTTTTTTTTTTTTTCTAATTTGATCTTGAGGTCTCTCTCTGGAGAGTGGCCATAATTTGAGATATCCACTCTCTAGGAGAACCCTGACTGGGAGGAGGGTTAGGTCGGCCAGGTGAGACACAGAGGAGGCAACACAGCAAAGCACATGAAGGGACAGAGGCAATTTTATTACTTACAGACCCCAGAGAGAGGACAGCAGCATGCCCCACAATGCTGGCAGGAAGTGGGAGCCATCAGGGTAATGCACTCTCAACCAACCGGTGGGGGGGGAAGGGGGAGAGAGAGAGAGAGAGAAAGAGAGAGAGAGAGAGAGGAGAGAGAGAGAAGGAGAGAGAGAGGGAGAGAGAGAGGGAGAGACAGGGAGAGAGAGACAGGGAGAGAGATTGGACCTGTGGGACTAAAGCCTTTATGGAGGTCCAGGACATTATCCACCCAAACAGGTTTTCCGATGGGAGTTGTAATTGGTGGGTTTAAAGCAAGCAGGCACGAGTTCCAGGAGGTTATGCTGTGACTGAAAGGTGGGTGTGATATATATATTTTATATGTATATTTTATACACACGCCCACGCACATATATAAAACGTTTTCGTCGATGGTTCCTGGCTCCTCAAGGCAGGACTGATCTTCCCCTGGCTTTCTTGGAGCTGGCCACAATCTCTGACTTACCTTGTCTGATTGTTGGTCTAAAATCCCTATTTCGGAAGGATTCCTGCCCATGCCCAGGAGGAAGGACTGCTGCTCAGAGAGGCCAAGAAGAATTTGAACAGACAGGACTTGCTGTTCAAATTCAGTCTATTAGTATTAAATCATACCCTTTTTGTTCAACCACATTTCTACATGGCTGTTCATGTTTCAGTCATGCCTGTGTAATGAAGCTTCCATAAAAACCCAAGAGCACAGGGTTTGAAGATCTTCCAGATAGTGGAACACGTGGAGGTTCCTGGAGGGCAGTGCACACAGTGGGGACATGGAAGCTCCGTGCCTTTATAATAAACTAATAAACATTAAGCAAGTGTTTCCCTGAGTTCTGTGAGCTGCTCAGCAAATCAATCAAACCCAAGGAAGTGTGTTGTGGGAACCCTGATGTATAGCTGGTTGGTCAGAAGCACAGGTAAAGCAGCCTATAGCTTGCCACTGACATCTGAAGTGAGGGACAGTCTTGAGGACCAAGCCCTGAATCTGTGGGATCTGATGCTATCTCCTGGTAGATAGTGTTAGAACTAAAATGGAGGGCACCCAGCTGGTGTCTGCTGCAGAATTGCTTGGTTTGTGTGGAGAAGTCCCCACATATTTGGTCACAGAAATCTGTGTTATTCATGATGTGAAAGCAAAGGAAAAAGTGTGTTTTTCCCTTTCAGGTGGTCACTGTGGCATATCTGCACAGCCCATGCAGGATGCGGGGGTCAGTGGGGAGAGTCACATAGATTGTATCTAGCTGTCCCACAGGGAGGTCGTCACCAGGAGGTGGTTACATAGGACAAACGTCTATTTTGATCACCTTGAGAAACCAGAAGGTGGAAAACTGAAAGCTGTGTCAAGGGTGGCTAAGCCCTTCCTTAGTATGAGAAAGTCCAACTTATGTTCAAAACGGATACAGAGGCAGCATGAAATTATAGGAATTCACTGCAGTTCCCTTCATCATGTAACACAATTTCTCTGTGTTCTTGGGTTTGTTTTACTATTCTCCTTTCTATTGATGAGTCTTTCCCAATGCTAGGACCAAACTGTTTCAATTACTGCAGCGAGTCAGCACACTCACTGTCTGATGGGGAGGTCCATGCTCGGCAGTCTCTTTTTCATATTTTCCCTCTTTCCCCTACACTAATTCTCTTAGATGGATTTAAGAATCTGCCAAGTTCCCCCTCCCTCCCAGGAAGTCTAGTTGGGCATCTTGTTGAGATTAAGTTAAATTCGTAGATTAAATTGCACAAAACAACCATATTTCCAATACTGAGTTTTCCCATCTGAAGTACATTATGACTCTACGTTTATGCAAGTTTTGATTTATGCCTCAGAGTTTAATTTCCTTCACAAAAATATAGCTCATTTTGGAATTTGTTTCTAGGTGCTTTTGTTTTCTGTTGCTACTATGTATAGGTTTTCCGCCCCAACTTTATTTTCTGATGATGATTAGCATGTAGGAAAGAGAATGATTTTGCAGATTTTGTTTCATTACTGCCTACTTCACTTGATTCCTTTTCTTCCTAATACCAAGCAGTTGATTCTCTTGAGCTTTCCAGGTAATCATACTGCAAATATTATTTCCTCTTTCTTTCCAAACTTTATGCCTCATATTAATTTTTTAAAATAATGACAGTGATATCAAACATCCTTTTCTAACTTCACATTTTGCTGAAACTGCTTTTCGTTTTTCACTCTTAATTGCAATGCTAACTCTGAGATCACCTTCCTCCTCCTCAGACCATGTTACGGAAGGTTTCTTGTGTTTTTATAATGCTAAGAGTTTTCTTTGAAACTTTGGACTTCGTCATGACATTTTATGAAGGCTTTTTCTCAGAATCTGTCAATGACCAGTGTCTCTTCTCTGTTATTAAATATTATGCATGGTGATGGGTTTGTTAATGTTGAATCATTTTTGCATTCATAGGAAAAGCTTCATGGTGTACTGTTCTTTTAATATGCTGTTAGATTCTATTTGCTATTGTTTTAATGTAGTTTATTTTATTTTATTTTTTTGCAGCTGGCCAGTACAGGACCTTGGTGTTATAAGGCCGCTCTCTAATCACTGATCTAACCAGGAAGCCCTGATATTGTTTTAAGATGCATTATCTGTATTTGTATTTGGTCATAGTTTTTGTGTGTGCTGTGTCAGATTTTGGTATCAGAATCAGAATCTCTTTGTATAAAAAGTAGGGAAGACTTTCTTTTCTCTCTGGGCCCTAGAACAGTTAAAATAGCATCAGGCAGTTTTATAGGGTGGCAAGGGCACCCTGCTTTGCTCCAGATTCACCGTACGGCCTCCAGAAACACTCTCCTCATTTTTTAGTTGCTTTCTTATCTGTAAAGAGAGGTTGTTGGGTTTCAAATTTTTAAAATTTGTGATCTGCTGGCCACATTTTTTTTTTTTTTTTTACACTTCGACCACTGCTGTTCAAAGCCCT